GAACAACAACAACAAAAATTATTGTTTCCTGGATTGTTATGGCTTAATCCTATGAGCTGCTGTGTTGTGACTGGGGATGAGACAAAAGCACTCAAAAAGTTAATCACAACTCATTCTGAGCTATGAAAAAGTTTTTATTTTTATAAATTTTGAACCAACTTCCATACTAACTGCTAATATGACCTTTTAGTATTATAAATATTTTACTTTCAGAATAATTTACTATTTCTATAAAGAATATTTTCCCCTTGATTCTTACCAACATTTTTGTTTTGCTTCTTTGGATTCTCCTGGGGCAAAGGAGTTGAATGGATTTAGAACAAAAAACAACTACCATACAGAATCCACATAATTTCTTGAGGAAATACTCACCATCCATCAAATGTGATAATGTGTGGATCTGTGAAAGAGTAGCAGTAACCAGTAGGGAGGTCTTGAACTGTGACCTAGTTAAAATGAGACATGGAATTAATAGGGTCTCTGAGGCAGGAGTCCAGTTTTGCTCTTAATAGTGACTCACCAAACGTGGGTTGCATTTGACTATGGGTGAATTAAAATCAGGTTTAACATAGTACAGTTATCCTAGATTGTTGTTATTATTACAATTCCAATTACTTATTTTTGGAATCTGTATTTAAGAAGTAGTGATGAGCAGACCTTGTTATGCCTACGTAATGTGCTTGTTTTGTGAGTTACACTGGTTACTGGTAACCTTCTAGGTCCAATTCAAGGTATTAGAGCCCTGCGTGCCATAAGACCTAGTTATTTGAGGGACCATGTGTCTCCTGTAGTATCTGCCTGTCCTGTGCAATCAGACAGAGTTGGCTTGCATTGTGTCCCATAAATTAAGCATTGCCATGTAGCAGAGGCCAGAAAGTGGGCCTTCTTTGTTACAATATCTGCCCTCTGGAACAGTTTCCCCCTGTTTAGACCTCACCCTACTAACCATCAAGAGACCCTAAAAACATGGCACTTCTTGCAGGCCTTTAGGGTAAGGCTGGAGGTGATGTGGGGGATTTATTATTTTTTTTCATTGTTCCCTCAGGGTGATTGTATTTTTTCATATCATATTGTGAGGGGTCCCCCCCCCCATTTTTAATTTTGTGAAGTCACCCAGAGTTGCTTTTGCAGTTAGATGGTCTAGAAATTGGATATATAAATGCACACATTGAGGTAGTTTGGTATTTCTGAGAACTGAATCACAAAACAAAACAAAACAGAAAAGAAAAGAAAAGAAAAGAAAAAATGAATGGGTCAGGAGGAAGGGGAGGACCAAAAGCTGGAGTTAATATGGAGTTAATGAGATCCCAAGAAAGAGAGAAGTAAGTCGTTTGAGGAACAAAATACTGTTTCAACTGATATATGCATATGGTGGAATTATGGTGGTCTGAAGTTTCCTTTTTTAGAACCAAATGAACACTTTCTGACTGAAGCAGGTGAAATATTTTCTACCTGATCCAACATCACTGAATTCCAAAAGAACAGCTTTTAAGCAAATATAAATTACTGAAATACAACCCTCATATAAGAATTCTTTCTAACTCGAAAATGGTTCTTTTTCTAATGATGAATAAACTGACTTTGGGGGTTATTTTGTACATTTTTATTATCTCTGTTAGTATTGGTTTATTAATATAGTGAAAGATTGATTAGTTTCCAAGCTTGGAAAGAGAAAAAGAGTAAAAAAGGTAAAAAAAAAAATTAAATGAACATAACTGGAAAGGAGTGGTCTGTGTTTTTTACATCATACTGTGATAATTTCTTAGCTGTTGGTTTAACCTACCTTGACATCCATGGGCTTATAACCATGCCATAGAGATTTACTTGGCTGAACTGGTTTGGCTGTGATATAACTGATGAGGTTTCCGTCTTCTACAAAGTCATTCACAGCTCTTACAGCAAGCGATGCTCTCGCACAGATGCTTTCTCTGCAGGGCCTTTGTTCCAGATCCACATGGCATGTTGAAAGAGCTATGTTCGGTGTCCTTTCTAGCAAGTGATCTAAAAAAACACAAAAACATATTGGATCAATGTATAATGCTGTCAAGAAGTTACTGGTTTCATTTTTCTGTTCGTTTAAATGAAGTTGGATGGTTTTCCCTGTGTGGTAAAAATAACTCTTGCTATAGTGACTATTGTACACGATCATTTTGTAACCCAAACATACTATTGAGCAAGAAAAGAAATAGCAGCAATAAAACAAAGCATATACCTCAGTAATATGAGTATGTATGTGTACACACACACATGCACGCATGCACATATATACATACATAGTGCCCCCATGCCAAGTAGAGGGTCCTAAGGGTTCACAATATAGTTTATTAAATAAAATAATAAAATATTTCAATACATGAAAACATTAACATTTAAAAGTAGGATTGTATGGCTTCCTATGTAAAGGAGATATCCAGAGCTACATGCCAAATGTAGTTCTGTGTCCGTAACTTTTAGCTATAATTGGATGGATGTCCCAGGAAACACCAGATTCTTCAGAGGTCTCTCTCTTCGTGCAAAAAGAGTGAAGCTTCTTCTTTCAGATCTCTGAGGCTGGTTCTTTCCAGTGTTAAAGTAGGGCAAAAAGAGGCAAATCAAATGAGAGATACAGACACAAGGCTATTTATCTTCAGGCATACCGTTGAGGACAGAATGCGTGAGCTCTTAAACCACAATTTATTATTTATTCAGCCATAGTAATTAAGGAAAACTGATCTGAGCCACACATTCAGGATTTGGGTTCTAAAATGGAAAATCTATATTAGGTATGCCATTCTCTATCCATGTGTATATATATTTAATGATTGCTCACAAACTAAGTATGGGAAGAAGTTATTTTTCCAAGCTAAACTAAAAAAAAAAAAAAAAAATTGAGATGTTTGAGTACATTGAGATTTTTGGACCCATCTTTTCTATTTCAATGTGCATTTCAGCCACCCTATTGCTACAGTAACACTGTCATTCACTTTCCCCAGCTTTGGACTTGTATTGTGGAGACCCTTGGGTTACTTGTAGTAATAAAACGATGTTTCTGAAAATTGTTCTCTGGATCACTCTTGAGGGAAAGAGAGATTCAGGAAACCACTTGGTTTTCCTGATTAACTTTGCTAGGGAGAACATGAATCACCAGCTGTGTTTCAAAACTGCTGTTTGACTGACCTGGAAACTTTAGTACTGAAAATTGAATTCGGCATTCGCTATAATAGCCGTTCTAGGGATTGCTAACATGAGGCCTCTGAGTAACATTGTTACAAACAGATAAGTGTCATAGACTGCATTTACATGACAGTTCTGAACTCTCATATGAATGCTAAATGAACACTGTCATTCACTTTCCCCTGCTCTGCACTTCTGCTCTGGAGTCCACATGGTGACATGTGGTAATAAAGCTATGTTTCTCAGAATTGTTCCTTGTTCACTCTTAAGGCAAAGAGAGATTCAGAAAACCACATGGTTTTCCTGATTCTCTTTGCTAGGGAGAACATGAATCACCTGCTTTTTTTCAAATCTGCTGTTTGACTGATGTGGAAACTTTAGTACTGAGAATTTAATATAATAGCCGCTGTAGAGATTGCTAACATGAGGCTTCTCAGTGATGTTGCTTCAAACCAGATCACAGAACAAATTTAAGAACCATCTCTTTATTACCGGATTTCACCCAATGGCTCTACAATACAGGTGCAAAGCTGGGGAAAGTGAACAACATAATTATTATAGATTTAATTTAAATTTAATTTATGTTAAATTTATTTTAATGAAATAATTAAATTGATTGATTAATTAATTAACCAATTTAATTTAAACTTAAACTTAAATTTACATTTACATTTAATTTTAAATTTATTTTAGTTAATTAATTGATTTAATATAATTTAAATTAAATTAAATTTCTATTAAATTAGATTTAATTCAAATTAAATTAAATTTATATTAAATTTCATTTTAATTTAATTTAAATTTAAATTAAGTTTAGAATGTTAATGAAAATGAACAAATAGTTTAATATACTATATCACTCAGTGCATGATGTATTTTTTCTCATCTGTTTAGTATTATAGCTATGGAACATATTTGACTTCTGAAGCACTTCACCACTCTTCTGTTTCTAGATTCATTACAGGTATAGTGACTTCAGGAAAAATTGGAAAAAAACCAGAGTTGATTATATGCTAACTGACATAAGGTACTTACCAGAAATCTGGGTACTCAGCTGCAAAGTAATTTTACAGATGTCATCCTGGGCCAAACACGTAATAGGAATGGTACTTAAGATTGTCAAAATATGTGCCTTGCCATCCTCTGCAATTTGTAAGGATTCTGGCACAAACTGGAAATGAAGACAGATTATCAATCTTAGGCTAGACTCATATCAAGCCCTGATCATTTCTCATGGTAAATGGCTTTTTATTTAAAGATGAACCTTTAATTTTTGCTGTCTGGGAAGGGGAGGTTTCCAAGCTTTGAAACCATGAAGAGGGGAAAAGGAGTCAGGAATGGCAAAACATCTTGAGTAAGAAAGACCCCAGCCTAGCCAGAAATGTAGTGGGGGACCAAACTAAGTTCTAAGAGCATCACCATTGAAGACATGGAATAATACAAACCACCCCAAATTGTAAGTACTCTTTGAAATATTCAGGATAAATAAAACAAACACTTCACAAAATATAAAAATGAACTTCAGTGTTTTTTACTTAATAATCTGTAATATTTACCAATTCTTTGTAAAAATTCAAATATCTTTTATTGCACCTTGCTTGGAAAACTAAGGAAGAAGAATTTAGTCTGGAGGAAAAAGAAATAACTGATGGCCCCCTAATTGAGAATTATCTGTGTCTGTAAATTCATCTAAGATTAAACAGGCTCAGCCAGATACATTTCCATTGAAACAGCCTTTTTATGACCAAGGCCTTCTAGTTTTAGTTCTTAAAATACAGCACCATGGATTATATGAATGTCCTTACTCATTCTGGACCAACTGCAGCTTCCAGACAGTCTTAAGGGCAGCCCCATGTAGATCATGCTGTAATAGTCCAAGTGGGAGGTAAGTATAAGCTGGACCTCTGGATCCAAGAATGGGTGCAACTAATGCACAGATTGAAGCTGTACAAAGGCCCTCTTACTCCTCAACCAGGAGCTGTGAGTTCAGGAAAGCCCCAACTGCATACTGCAACTGAGTGGGGGAGTGCAACTTCTCCCAGGGTCTAAGATGGGAAATCTCTGGTTCCAGAATCAAGGGGATCCCAAACCCACAGCTACTCAGTCTTGCTAAGGTTAAGATGAAGCCAAGAATTAAACCTAGGACACCCTGCATCAAAAATATGTACTCTGCCACTGAGCTATGGGCCTTTCTTCTAATCAGTTCAACCATGCCAAGGCCAGCCTTACTACCTAAAAAATAAAATAATTTGTTCTCAAGTTGATGATCATTAGGCAGAAAAAAGTCTGAAGTTGAAATAGGGCATTTTCCCTGTCATGGCACCTGCCTTATGTAACAGCCTCCTGGAGATATGGATGGTACTGTCTCTGTGGGCCTTCAGGAAAGTGGTGGAGACCTGGCTTTTCCCCCAAGCATTTAGGCCAGGATGTTGACAGAGTTGGCGTGGGATGGTTGGTGGATGAATGTGAGTTTTATCAGAGTCTCAATGCTGTTAATTGTTTTAAATGCTCTTTTTAGCATATTGTGATTTTATTCTGTTTACCGCCCAGATTCTTTCTGGTAGATGGATAGCTATATAAGTTTCCCAGTGATTTCCTATTGAAGACCTTTCTGTTGTATTGGTAGGAAAGATCTGACCTTGAAAGTGTGGAGAGTTGCTGTAAGATAGACTTGAGTCAACTGTCCTGTAACAGTTATTTGAACCAAAGATTGCACTTGGCTTTTGAAGATGTGCTGAGAACTGCACTTTACAATTTCATTTAGGAGCAACTTTTCAATAGATACTCAACTCTTTCACTCCTGAAACAAACAACTATGGTTTGTCTAATTCAATACATCAGAGCTTTATAATTTATAGAAAAACAGACCTACTGTACCTTCTCAGACACCTGTCAAGTAAACTATGCTTCTAAATTTTAGCTGCTTGTCACTTACAGTTTTCTTCCTCAACACACATATACAAATGTCTAGAATAACAAGAATATGTATAGAAAACCAAAAGGAATGTTCATTGTGTTTTGTTTTGTCTTAATTTCTGAAAATGTAAGATAGTGAGGTAAAATAAAATCTAACAAAGATGGAGGGGAAAATTTAGTTTTATTTCTGAAAACTAAAAAGGACCTGAGACAAAAAAAATTAAGACTGGAACCAAAAAAAGGAAGGAAGGAAGGAAGGAAGGAAGGAAGGAAGGAAGGAAGGAAGGAAGGAAGGAAGGAAGGACAAACTAAACTAAGCAGAATTAAAATTAGCAGATTTTCTCCCAGGCAGTGTTAATACATTGGAGTCAAGCATATTCCATGGGGTTTTTAAAATAAAATCTATTCTGCAGGAATAAATATTATCTGAAGTCATATATATCGTGGAACTATACTATTCTCCAATACTATGGAATTTCACATGAAACAGAAGAACATCTTAAAGAACATTTGTTTTTATATGTATATTTAAATGTATACAATTTAAATATATATTTAAATTAAATATTTACAGTATATATTTAATGGGTGTGGATTAAAGAATTAAGGATTAAGAATTAAGTTTATTTTCTCTCAAATTACTGTGCCTTTCATTTCTTTTGGCTACAAGTATACCAATTTTCACTGGGAAAAGGTTTGCTGTTCTTTTTTTTCCCTTCAGCCTTTACCCTTTTGCTTGCTCTTATTGCTATGCTGGCAAGTTAACAAGATCTTGGATCATTGCCCCAGCAAGAATAAGGTGAAATTGTTATTTTGGTGGCTCCCTAAGATTTCTGCTAAGCTCTAAACCATTCATTCAAATTAGCCACTATAATTGCTTATTAAATAGACATTGACTTAATTTCCAAATGTTACCTTTTGCTTTTGAACATCTTTAGTAATTACAAAATAATTTTTAGGTATAGTTGGGTAATTGTTTCTTTTTTCTGATGTAGAAAGGGAGGAAAAAACCTTTGAAAAATTCTATTAACTAACAGCAAGGAACTGAGTGGTTTAGTGTACTGTAGGGCTAGTAGTGAAAAAAAATGTTAATTAAAATGTGCTGGAGTGTATATTACAATAATTAGCTGGTCATGTTGCTTGTCTGTTATTCTACTTTTTATGTCCAAATGAATGGAAGAACAATTTACATGAATATGAATATGATGATCTGACCATTCATCAAGACACCTGACTAAAGTTATCTGTTGACTAAAGCAACAAGCTTTTTTTTCTCTCTCTCTCTTTCTCCCCTAGCATGTTTCTCTTTTACTGGAGATGTTAAGGCAACGTTAGGAATCTTTGGTTCTTTGGGCTCCAACTCTAATAATCTCTGATCATCAGTGATCTTGGATAGAGTTGGTGAGAGTTGAACTCTAACAATATATGGAAAGCCAAAGGCTTCCCAGGTCTATGGCTAAGGACTGCACCAGGATCTTTTAGATTCCTAGCCAGCCCATGCTTTAAGAATGAACGATGCCTTTCCCTAGTTTGTTTATTAGTTACAAAAGCAAAATAATATATAACTGATGTATTCTGAATTATGGTAATGTTGATGACAGCATAACTGACTTCTACCAGTCTACATTTAAAATGTTTGCTACTCTGTTCTAATCTTAATGTGGAAGTAAATATAGATATAGTAGTTGGTCATACATTGAAAATAAACATGGACAACCTATAATTCAAAATAATAATCCCCAACTTTCTCTGCCACACACACATAAACACTAATTTTGAAGATGGTAAGCCAAAATGATTTTAAATTTCATGACTCTAGTCATTCCTAACAGAAACAATAAAATTGGAAAGTTGAGAGGATAACATTTGTTCACTTTCTTCCCCATCCAATGGATAAGAAGAAATTCTTACTTGCTGGCAATATTTAAATGAAGCGGGAGGGAAACTGTGGAAATGGAAAAGGAACAAAAAACTCAGTATGACCAAGGGTAACATTCCCCAAATGTAGACCATAACTGCAGTTCAAAAGATCTTCAAGGCAAATCTGGGAAAACTAAAGGATAAAGAAAAGATCCCACCCATCTATGATGTTTCAGCAGATTACTGCATTTTATGAGGGGAAGGAAAAGAGTTTTACCCATGTAAATAATGCCACATTAGTCCAAGCTGTGGTTACACTATTAAGTCTCCAGTCAAAGGAATTATGTATGAACCACACAGATGATTATAAAGCATAGTAATTATCCCATAAATAATGTTGGATTTAAGATACATTTCTTTGTTATTTATTTATTAGCTTAACTTCTCAGAGTGAATCTGTACCACTGCCATAACGCAATGAGTGAGGTTTTGTCACATATATATAGTGCGTTCCAGAATAATCAGATGAACTGAAGATACTTCTCTAAAATACCTGTTCCTAAATGGCTAATCAAGACCCAGAAATACTTTAGCCTCTTCAAAAGTATTATTAAAGTAGGCATGAACAATGTTTTGGCAGTAACAAAGCATGCTTACAGTAGACAGGGGACGATGAGGACCTGCATCGAGTTTGAATTGAGGAGGTAAATAAAAATATTTTGTTTTTGTTTTTTTAATTCTTTTTTTGGAGGAAGTAGTGGGTGAGAGTTTTCTTTGAATGTTTATCCAATTAAAATTACCATTTTCATTTCTTTCCTACTTCAAAATGTTTTACCATTGCGCTGTTGACATTTCATGAGGGAGGACACAAAAGAGGGACTTAGGGAATGCACATGAGCCAGGTGATGCACATTAGCTTCCTTGATATAAAAGAGAATTTGTCTCTCATTTTTGTGAAAGGATTGTACCTTTCAGAAAATGCAAAAGATTTCAGTGTTAATCCCATGCCAGACGTCATAAATATGGTCAGATCAAAGACACAATTTATATTTCCCAGTATGAGTCTGATACAACTACAGCTGTTCAGACCTTATAGCCAAGTATTACCGTAACTATTTATTTGCACAGAACTATGCATATACTACCACGCTACTCAAGGTGAATTATCAGGGAAGGATTTTAGAATACGTTTCTCTCTACCTAGGATGCTGTAGCCGTTAGTGTGTTTTAAAAGGCTGATAGAATGATTGATGGAATGGCAGGCAATTTATTCAAACATTTTCTGCTTCAGCTCCTAGAAGCACCCTTCTTATAATCACTAAAGCCAATTTTACGGTGTGTTGTCTTGCGAAACAAGATGGTTAATATAGAAATCTCCATCAAGGCTATGCTAGAGAAGTTTATGAAATTAGATGTTTCGTTGTTACCTTGATTCCAGGATAGAATCCATCGCTTTCTTCAGGGAGAGAGTAGTGATCAGGTGAGTCCCACCTAAAAGCTGTGACAGTGCAAAAGACCTGCAATAAATAAGCCAAACGATTTTAAAAACCTTTTTCCTCTTTTTTAAATGAAAAGCTTATGAAAAATGATGGGAAATGAACTAATGGATTGTTAGATAGATTACAGCTTATAAAATCTTATTTTGCTTCTCTTTCTCCTTAGCAATTGTAGACCTCCTTTACAAAAAGATAGCCAGGGCTGTTCCCTGCCAAATTGAAAATGCACAGGGGCGGGCCTCCAAGCACCAAAAACTAACACTGACACTTGTTCAAATAAATATCTATGTGTGGCTTTTGAAGTTTTAAAAGCTGTTGCCAAGCAAGTCATGAGTGCACAGAATGCTCAAGAAGTCTCCGACCTTCAGAACTAGGACATCTGCCAACATGCGTAACGTTGGACAAAACAGTTGTGCAGCATTTTCTAAGCTGCAGCACTGCGTTATCATTTTAAGCATATTGTGACAAAAAGGAATGTTTCTTACAACATCAGCCATGTTCCCCCCCCCCCCCCCCCTTTTCTGTGCATTAGTTTTCAGAAAAATAAAACTGGGGATCACATTACAATGCTATGGGGCTCAGATATAGGAAATGGATTATGCAATTGAATCACCAGAGAGAGATGTACTGACATTTTCAAGACTCTCTATTCCCATACAATTGCCCTATGCTCTTAGCTCATCAGTAGGACACCTTTTGTAGATGCTGCTACAGAGATGCTATATGACTGAACAGTTTGCCATTGGAGCTAAAACTGTTACAGTTTAGGAATCTTTTTACACAGGTTTTTTAGAGTTTTTATGCTGATGATGTTGTGATTTGAATTGTTGCATTGATCTTAATATTTTTCAGTGTTTGTAAATTGTCTAGAATCGCCAAGGCTGGACAGCATATACATTTGCTGTTTTTGTTTTGTTTTGTTTTAAACTGCCCATTCATGCCACATTTGGATCATGGTAGTCAAACTGCCATTCAGGACCCGATGAATCTGATTTCAAACTTTGGATGTAACGTCTTTGAAGAACAATGTTTTTGAATAGACGGCAAAAGAGTTTTAAGTTGTGAACCAACTGCAAGAGGCCTATAACTTAAAGTGCAAGCATTTAAATAACTTTGAGGTAAGAACCTATCTAAAGTGGCTTTTTGGGTCCTAGCAAAGGTTTCATGGGAAGGGAGAAGCCAATCACATTTTTCTTTACATTATTGTGGTAGGAAGACAGAATATCAATGCTATGCATAAAATAATGCATGTCCTTTCCAAAAGTGCATTTCCTTCTTTCTTAGACTAAGTTGTTCTGGGATTATTTTTATACCATATGTTAAACTTTGATCATTAGAAGCTGTTTGCCTCATAAGTCAATACAGATCAAGTCAATTGTATTTGCTTGAATAACAGCAATACATGTGTTCTCACCAATGAGGCAACAAAGCACCTGCTCTCCCCAATTTCTTTCCCAAGATTTAGCCAGCATGACTTCTTCCTTGAAAAAAATCTGTATCACTCACTAACTGCAGGCTTTTATTTGTCTTTTGTAAAAAAAGGGCAACCTGGTATACGTTTCTCCTTTTCCAACATGAATTGGTTTAGCCATTTAGCTGAGAGTTAGGGAACCTGGTTTTCTCCAGGTATTTTGCATTACAACTCCCACAGTTCTTTTCCGTTGACTATGCAGGAGATAAATCATTCCTAGTATCTGATGTTCCTGGAACCTCTCCTTGGAAGCCGATCTGATTCCTTGCTTATTTTTTAACTGAGATTCTATTAACTTTATTAAATTGAATAAGGATGTCGTAGACATCAGCCACAGATTTCTTTTTATACAAAATATCTTATCTGCCTCTATGGATTCTGTCTAGCAGACACTGCAGTAACAGAATTCTCTAGTCTCTCTAGTCTTATTCGTTGCCGTAAAATTTAATTTAAAAACAGTGTTTACATAGGAAAGTTACTTGCAAAGCAGAGAATATCTTTAAAAGCCAACACATTTTTTTAAAAAAATTGCATTAACTTTATTTATCTGATAAATAACTGATAAATTTATTTATCAAATTTATATGGCCTCTCATCTCAGAAACATGACTCTGGGAGGTATAGAATAAAACTGTTAGGTCTAATTGTGTTTAAAGAAAGCATATATTGGGGAAAGTTGCAGAAGAAAGTAAGATATTAGGAGAGTTGTCTCTAACAACTGCAGATACTGAGGAAACATGCACCCAAAATCTAACAACTATAGATTTTGTGGTAAGTGTTAAGGTTACTGTAAAAAACAATAGAGTGTAATAACACACAAATTATATGTGATAGTGGCATGTGCTGGATTTACTCTGATTTACACATCTTTAATATCCTAATGATTATTAATATGTCTATTTATGTAATCTGTCCAAAATGAGATAGATACTGTTGAAAGAATTTATAGGCTTTTGACCTATTCCAGGTTGTTCTTATAAGAGATGAAATGTACACTTTTTCAACAGTGTACATAATTTGACAAACATCTTTTTTTAACTTAACAAAGCTAACCCACACTTTCATATTATTACTGCTACTATCCAACTCACTTATATGGGAATAACTGCTTTTGAATTCAATGGAAATTATTTCTGATAAAATAGAAATAAAATGTACTGTTACACCAAATTCTGTATCGCAAAATTTTCACTGGAATGATTCAGCTCATCCCTCCATCCCCCCAAACAGATTTATTGTTTGATCGTTAAGGTTTTACTTACATCAAGGAGTTAGTGACCATCCCCAAACTGTTGAAATATACTTCCCAGTATCCCTTATCATTAGCCATGTAGAGCAGAGCAGCTAGAAGCTGCCATATAGCAATTTCAAATGTTAAAAACGCATTTAAAAAAAAGTTAAAACACTGTACCTAGGCAAAACTGCCTAACACTATTTGCATACAAATAATCCCATGTTTAACCAGTACTCGTATCTCCATATATATATATGTGTCTTAAACAGAGAACAGTTGCAAGTTGTGCAATCAAGACATGGGAGCCTATGATCCATTACATGTTATGAATTATAATTCCTAGCATCCCTCACCATTGGCCATGGTGGCTGGAGTAGCTGGTAGATCTAGCTCAGCATTTGGAAGATCACAAGTTATTTATAGATGGAGATGAGGCCATCTCTGAAGAAGGTAACAGCTTGTTTCATGGGAATAAAGGACATGCTTTTCAGTTCCTTACTAAGGTTGAACCCATATATATGGTCTGAAATATCTCACATCAATTTCAGTGCTCATGATCTTGAGGTTCAATAAACAAGAATTTTAAAAGATAAGCAAAATACAACCAATTCAAAAATCTTCCTGATTCAGTACTTATTATACAAGTGTTCCCCAATCTAAGAAACTTCAACTCCCAGAATTCTCTGCAGGTAGCTATACTGTCTGGCAAATTCTGGGTGTTGAACTGCATATGTCTAAAAGCTGCACAGGCTGGGAAATACTGCCCTGTATTTCTATGTGTGAAGTTTCTTTCTTTGTAAATTTAGATTTCCTGGTCCTTTTGCTCCTCACAATAATCAGATATGTATTTTAGTCACTGATTTATAGTCCTGACAGTGTGTCACACAATTATTAAGATAGTCTTTCTCACAAGCTTCTTGCCTGTAGCTAAATATTGGCTCCTAGTCTTTAACTAGGCAATCAGAGGGTTTTTTCCCCCTCCCTTTATCGTTCCAAGAGAAAGGGGAAATGAAAAAGATACCCTACAGGCTATGTAAAGACAACTTTACTGTGTGATTGGATTTTTTTTGTTCCTAAAGCTTCTCAATATAATAAAATCCTGCTTATCCCTAAATTTTAAAATTATTAAAAGGGATTGGTTTATTTAAGCTAAACATAAATTGCGATCCAGAGCCATACCTCATCCATTAGGATGGGGAAGACAAGGGTACCTATAGATATCAGGAGGGTTGTTTTGTGGTGGGGGAAGGGAATTGGACAATGTAAGCCATGATGCTAGTTGTATGCAGTTTTAAAGCAGCTTTTAATTGTTCTTTGTGTGCCTTGTTGATGGATGTTATAGTCATGACAGAAAAATAGAATTGCACTCTTAAGACAGTACTAGGGCTTTTGTTTTTGTTTTTTGGCAACAATTCCTTCTATATAAGTTTGACAAGTTCACGTGATTTGTTAGAATAATAATTGGAAAAGGCAGTTTAGGCCATTAAGCCCAACTTTCAGATCAGGACAGGAATCTAAACTAAGTATCCCCGGTGCATAGATATCCAGCCTCTGCATGCAGCAAGAAGGAGTGTACCATGAATGAAGGTTTTTTTCCCAATATTCAGTTGAAATCTGTCTCCCATATTTCCATGTCCTGCGTTCTGGATTAATGTAGACTGCCTGAAGTGTTCTCTGTTTCCTCTTGAAAGGCAAACATTTCCAGTTCCTTCAATCTCTCTTTATAGCACTTGGTTTCTACTCCTTTCATTATCCTTGTGGTTCTTCATACATACATATGGGAATGATCGTGGTAGCAATTGGCAGAGGGGGATATGATGGGAAACTGAGCACAGACAATTATGGGGGAAGGTGAATAAGAATCCGGTTCTTATCTCATTTTCTATCTGCCATAGACAGAGTTCTATGTGGGATAAGCTCACACACCTGCAAATTATCTCCTTGCCTTCTTTGGATGGTATGTGGGGCCATAAAGGGCATGGGTACAGGGTTACAAATGTATCCTTGGGAATGATGTGTCCTGTTCTCAGAAAGTTATCTCTTGACCCAAACACCCTGTATGGTTATCAGCCAGTTTCCAACCTACAGTTGTTTGAAATTATTTTCAAAAAGACCTTACAGGGGGTCTTGCATGTGATCAAATATCTGGATCCCTTCAGTTGGATTTCAGGCCTGGCACAGGAGAGTGCATGAATCATTCTTGTAGATGATCTCTAGAGGGACTAAGAGGGTGGTGGTATATCCCTTCTATTTTGTTAGATCTCAAGGGCATTCAATACCCATCAATTATGGCATCCTTCTGAGCTGTGGGCAAGGATTGAGGATTGGACCATGTTTTGCAGTGTTTCCACTCTTTCCTGAGCCAATGGCTCTGATTAGCTGTTGGGATACGAGTGGTTGAACCCCTGGGCGCTCTATTGTGGAGTATCCCAGGCCATGAACCTCTCCTCCATCCTGTTTAACATGTACATGAGATCCTTGATTGGTTTCGGGTTAGGTATCATCAATATGTTGCCAATACCCAGCTTTATATCTGTACCCTATGACAAGCAGATATAGTAGAAGTTTTGTGTTTTGCCTGGAGGCTGTGAGGGACTAGATGGGATAAAACTGACTGAGATGGTTGCCAGTATGATTTGGGCCCAATTCATGGTACTGAAGCTTGCCTATAAAGCCATATAAGGCTTGGACCCTTACTACATTTTCCAGGCAGAGTCTGCCAACCCTATATAGACTAACAGGGAGAGGATCCTGAGGTTGTCCATTCCACACATGGTGAGTAGTGCTGAGACCCACAAATGATATTCTCAGGAGTAGCCCTTCCATCTGGACCAACACACTCCCAGGTCTCATGTGGGCCACCACCTTTTCATCCTTCAGGAAACTGGTGAAGATCTTCAGGGCATTCAGAGTTTGAATAACAGCATTTTCTTGTCTTCCTCTTCAGACACTGAAGGATGTGTGTGTGTGTGTGTGTGTGTATATGTGGGGGGGATGACAACATTGTACTCCATGTTATGTAGTTTCTGTTATTTAAAAGAACAAATAATGTTTGTCAGAGAAGGGAGAGGGATTTTTAACACAATGAGTTTTAGACTGAGCTATCTATAATGATTACAGCAAGTCAAAATAATTTGAATTGGAAATTATACTTGATTCTGAGAGGGTAGTTTCAAGGTTTGTTTTTATTCAAACAAACCACATCCCTGGTTGTGGAATTTCAAGGTGAAAATTCATTTTAAAAAATCAGAACCCATTCTGAAAGCAATATTTGATACATCTGGAACTACTGCACTGCAGTTAACGGTTATAATTAAAAGTGTGGGAAAAGGAAATTTCTCTGTTTTCTTTCATAGCAAAAGCATCACAGGTAATCACCTTTCTCTGCAGAGATAAATCTCTACAGAATTTTGTACACTGAGTTTTTATTTTTCAGTATTTGAGGGAGGAGTTGCCATCATGATTGAAAATACTGTAACTCATCAGAAGATGGCCAATGCCAATGGCAAACTAAAAGGCAATTTTACATAAGGCTTTTCTAAAATGTATGCCATTTTATTGCATGAACTTCCAAACTGCTGTGCAGAGCAAAATATGACCAGTTTTTCTGGCACATCCTGCTTTCTTAGTATTACCCACTGCGCACACAGTACCTGCTGCAATTTACAGATGGCTGTACCTCTAGGTATAGAGTGACCTCTGTCAATATCATCTAAATAGATCTTGGGATTGCTACAATTTCAAATCAGATGGAATGGGCTATCTTGAGTGTTTACCCAGGGGAAAACAGCATATTACAGATTTCTTTATTAAAGCTGCAGTAGTTTTGCTAGCATTTTGTTCTCAACAGAGTTCAAATAGAATAACTGAACGAAGTTGTGACTTTTCTAAATATTATGGGGAAATGATATTGGCTAATTACAGATATGCTAATAAAAGTTCAAAATCCATTGGACTAGTAAAGCTTAATGACTCTGTTAAAGGGATGAACATCTTGATGGACACTTGATGTTGGATGTGAACAATATTACTAATGAAAATTTAAATGAATGGAAATCAGTTCAGATATATCAGTCATCTGGGAACAGAATGTTAATTTTTAGGCTCCTACCTGATTTACAATTTTGCAGCTTTTGAGAAATAAGTAGTACAGAGAAGTATGGAGGTACTTGGAAACTATACTGTGTAGTGACAAAATTGGCTATTCCTATTAGTGACTCAGGATGCCTCCATCTGCAGCACCCACCATAGACAGACAGATTTGGATGGATGTTAATCTGAGCTGACCACTGAAGAAGGTCAAATAAGATGTCACAAAAGCCTACAATTCTTATACTACATCAATCACATTTCAGTATAGACAATAGAAATTAAAAAGTAGCAGAACACTCATACTTCATTTGTGTGCACATGTACGTCATGCTTTACAACATTAAAGCACTTTGCATGCAATATTTTGCAGGCTTTACAAAAAATTGCAAAGAAGCCAGTTTTATCTCAAAATTGCAGGAAGGGAAGGATATACTGAGAAAGGAAGAAAGAAGCCGTTGGCTATCAGGATAGAAGTAAGATTCAAATTTGAGGCCTTCTGATTTATGAACCAAACTGCTAAGAAAACTGAGGGTCATGATACTTACATATTTGGACTTTACTTGCTAACTCTTTTTAGTTCATTCAGAATAAGTGGCATGTCCCTTCAAGTATGAATGAGGCTTTGTCTCATTCACTAAGACAAAGCCTCCAAGTTTTTTCCCCAAATGAAAAACAACTGAAGATAGAATGATAGGCTAGCAGAGGAATATGAGACCAATTTCAGTTTTTGAAGCAGAAACCAGGGCCAAAATTATATAAGGCTTTGAACACATCATCCTCTCTTTCAGGAGTTTCTTTTGTTTCTCGTTAGCAGTGATCTGAGACCATAGAATTATCTGTGATATATACTGTGGTCCACTATGGACTTTTGGTTTTATTTGTAGGAATATGGGATTTATAACTTCTTAATTATTTCTATTATTGACAGATTATTGATAATGTTATATTATGAATGATTTGTTATATTACTGACTCATTCATGTGAGTCAATGAAAATGAAACTTTGGGGATCCAGTTTTGGAATCCAATTGGTTCTCTGAAGCTGCAGTCACCTAGAAATGGAAAGAAATCTAGTGTTTTCATTGAGTTTCATTTTCATTTAAATACAAAGAATTGTACTGTAGGTATTTGGCTCAGGCTGACCAAACCATTTCTCTGTTATTACAGTACTATAAGAAGGTAGAGTTATTCTTCATTGGATATATGAATTAACTTACCTATTTACCTATTATCTATTTTAAAAGAAGTAATGCTATGCAGTACAAAAGAATAATTTTTGGATAAATGAGCTAGATTGCTTTATAAACTTAATAAAATGTACTTAATAATATTACATTAAAATACATCACTTCTTGAATACCATATTTTACTTTCAGGCCAAATTCAGGCTCAAGTTATGAGAGTCAATAAGAGCTAAAAAAAAGAAAGAAAAAGCATTGCAGAATGATTGTCTTTCTTGACCTTGTCTTCTGAGTTCAAGAAAGCTTTACCGTATCTCCCAATCTGAAATTAATTCCATCCATCTCCACATAGGAGAATGTCCGCACAGTTGTGTCATGATGAAGCTGTTCTTTCACACTGGATGTAGTAAGCCGTGACCAGATCACTGTATAGCCCATAGCCCAATTTGAAGTTGGACGGCTGAAAGTGCATTTTAGGTAAACCTGGGACCCCAAAAGCTCAGGAGTAATAACTGGGTGTAAAGCTGGAACCTGGAATTTCCCTGTGCAGAAAGGAAAGCAGATTGTTGTGTAATGCACATGACTTAAACAATAAATAGTTCAACAAATTTAAAATTATAATGGCATTGGTACTATAGAACTTAAGAACACATATAAAGCCCTATGTTTTCTGGATGAAAATTGTACATTTATACTATGCAATTTATGCAGACAGGTGAAGACTGAATAGTTGTTATGTTCAGAGCAACAACTCAATAGTTCAGAGCAACAAGGTAATGGAAAACGATAAGCAAAGCATCTCCAATGGTTGTAAACAAAAGGGGGGTTTCCAGCCTTTCATTTGCTTGATAATCTCTTAGTACCAATAGGGGAGGACCAAAAATATAGCCCTATTCACTTTGAACCACAATCATGTCCTCAAGGACAGGAGCTCAGCAAACCTGTAGGAGATTCTGAAACCTCTAGTCAGGGGATGCCATCATCACCCATTCTGAAATTTATTTATTTATTTATTTATTTATTTATTTAATTTGTCACCGCCCATCTCTCCAGAAAGCGACTCTGGGTGGTTTACAGCCCAAGGATGAAGACTGTTAATTAACCAATAGCCCAGACTTAGATGAACACCTTTCTATAACCTGTGCATTTATTTTGCCACAAGGATTCTGAGGTTTCAGAAGGAGCCATGAATTCTTTATGTTTAGACACAGCAGAGATCAGGGATAGACTTAACAGATCTCTTGGTCCTGATAGCCTTCTTAATCCCCAAACATCAAAGAGTCAGAAATTCTAATATGTGAAAGTCCTTCAACAATGGTGGCAACCAAATTTGGGGGGGCTGTACAGTGCAATCCGTTGAAATAAATTTCTGCTCATATATCACTGGATATAAAATATAGTTTTGCTGTTAGTGGCATTCTTTTTGAAAAAAAATATTTATTTATTTATTTGATTTATATGGCCACCCAACTTAGAAAAGAACTCTGGGTACCTTATAAACAAATTTTAAAGTGATCATAAAAACATACATATCAAAAACAAACAAACCATATTGGCAGCCAAGGACACCAATCAATATACTACAATGCCCCTTAGAGATGGACTCACTTAACGCTCTGGCTTAATGCCTAAATGAACAGCCAGGTCTTCAATGCCTTCCAAATGGCACTGGCAATAGGTAAACTTTGGTTGCCAAGACTGAATATTTGCCATGAGTAACCGTAAGAATAAGCATAATAAACCAGGAACTACTTATTTAACTCTGAGCTTCATTCTCACTCCACATAGGAGCTCTGGATAGTCTCCTAATTTTCAAAAGTTCCTTTTGGAAATATGTAAGGAGAAGGATCACCAATGTGAATGTGGAACAACGTACTCACTGGTTCTGCAGATAAAAGATAACTCACTTATGCTGCTTGTGGTATGAAATTACCTTGGATGATGCCTTCTAATTCAGTTCTTTTGGGATCGAAAGAGTTGAGCTGTGATTCTTCAACAACAAAGCAAATAAATCAGTCAGTACGGCATTGTGAAGTGGTGAAGCAAGTGCTAAGGGTGCTGTATCTTCTGCTTATGCTGATACTTCGCTGGACATATTTTGACTTATTGGTCTGAATAGCTTTCACAGTTTTCATGGATTCTCAGGTAAGAAATATATGCATCAGCATGTCAGCTGTGAAAAGCAGAAGTGGCTTGTTTCTTCTGCAATATATGTAGAACTGGAGATTGGGAAATAAGGCTCTTCAGCATTATGTATATTGCAAAGAAACATGTCCAGTTATGTGCAAATACACACATAACTGTGCAAAATCAATATTTTATCTATCTATCTATCTATCTATCTATCTATCTATCTATCTATCTATTCATCCATCCATCTTTCAAATACTGACACATGCATAAAATATATTTACAAATAAGTACACAACATGAAAATCATCCTGATTTATGATCTCTACTTTTCAGAGTATGTGTGCACATAATCCACCTTCAGTTAGTGTAACATGTGCATCCCTTGGCAGAATGAATGAGTCTGGTCTCAGTGATCTGTTCCTTAATTATTTCCATTTCTGTTTATATTATTAAATGTACTGTCCCTGAAGAGCATTTGAAAAATGAAGCCAGTACCAAAACAAAAACAAATTTTAAAAAAACCATTTTGACAGTTTTTCTAACATGCATTTTCCCATCATGTATTAAAAATTAAACTACATTTAATTTGTTTCCAGCCCCAATCCAAATTTCTGGTTCTTACCAAAAAAGTCTAAATTACATCTTCTAATACCAAGAAAGTTTATATTGGTATAAATACAGGAAAGTATTTTGTGTAGCAACATCTCAATTGTCTGATAATTTGTGTAGAGAGATTAGGCCTGCCCAGACTCCTTTTACTGCAAGCAGTAAAAAACATTTTCTAGAAACTATTTTGTCTTTTGATTAGTTTATTAACTCTACTGTCTTGGGTATTTTAAACTTTTCTTGGGGTATTTTATGTGGCTCATTGATTATAACCCGTTTTCCTGCTTGCTATGAATATCACTTTGGGACTCCAGAAATTTAAAAATCAGCTTATAATATTGTAATTAATAAATAAATGTTAATATGAACTTTAATGCTGTTGAGATTAATGAGCTTATTAATGCTAATACTGTGCCATCCATGTGCTTTGCAAAATATGAAAACAATGTTTCTTGCTTCAAGGAACTTACAAGATAAAATCTGATACAGAGAAAGCAGAGGAAGGGGAAGAGATCATTATGCCACAAAGTTAAACTGAGTTACAGAAGGCATGGAAGTCAGGAGATTATGCCACAAACATGACAGAAAAGGGCATTTTTGAGGAGAGAACTGAGCTGAAAAAGAAGTGACATCACTCAAGTGTTCTGAGAGACAGTTTCAAGGACAAAGGACAACAAAGGAGAAACAGTGTCTTTTGAGGAAACGGGAAAATAAATGCCTTTATAAATATTATACTGTATCTGAGATGCCTAACTATCCACACCAAGAAGTCAGGTAGCAGAGATTTACCAACAGAGTGCTTTTGATAATGACCGGTATGGAATAAAAAGGTGTGTTTGTGTTGATTCCATGAGATTTAATTTGTCCTGCAAAATTCACATACTGGTACTGATTCTCCTAAGAAAGACTCATTTCTATTATTCGACAGAAGTGATAGAACACGCAGATTTCAAATGGTGTAACAGACTGAGTGAGGAATTGCTACCTGCTATTCCTTTTGTTTCCTAAGTACAAAATAGAGTATCTTTTCAGTGCAGTGACAGACATTTCTGACCAAAGTAGTTTTTAAAAAGGTCAGCCAACAGTTATTCTCTTTTGCCCTCACCTACAAAAGCTTTCAAATGAACTTGTTCCTTTCCAATAAACTATTTCAGTATTAGATACCATTTAGTAACAACAGCAACATGAACATGTTCAAATACATTATTTTTACTCTTTAAGCCAAACATGGAAACAAAATATGGTGCATGAAGTGTAACCGCACTAAATTTTCCTTGGGAACATGCTGCAGATTAAAATCTGCCAAAGTTATAACAACTATTCTACAGAAACATTTTAGGCAGCTGCTGATTTATTACCTGTGTGGTCTGCATCTTACAGAAAGCAATGCTTGACTTGTTAGGTTACAAAGGTGTGTATAGCAATAACAAGACCTTTGTACATGTAGCAAAAGGAATGCATAGAGTGTAAGTGATAAATATGGAGTTCATGAAACTCACCTTCTGCACAGTAGCCCATACACCCTTGAGTAGGTTGCAGGAGATAAACAAAGAACTCTCCACAATGTCTAACTGAGATGGGGATTTGGAAGAGGCAACAATCTTTGGTGCTTCCAGAAAAGAATTGCCAGGTTGCACAGGCCATCAGTGCCTTTCTCTCTCCAAGGCGTGGGAGAGACTCTGAGTGAAGTGAGAGCCAGATTGGGGCTTGTGTTCCACATTTGTTCATCTGCAGAAAAGTATATATTATTTAAAATTCAGAATTAGGGCATTTAAAGAACATACTTCTTTCAATGAGTTGTGGAAGGAGGCAAGGCAGAAGGAACTGACCTCCAAATGCCACTCCCTCATCAGGTCTGACCAATGATTCAGCTTTTGCCAATTAGGAAACAGCAATAATACAAGCAAAAATTGGACCTATGGTAGTCTAGCTGCCAGCAACATCTGAACAGAATTCTGCTTAGGAGTCCAGTTAAGTCAGTAACAATGAAGAAAGTATAGAAGAGCGAAAAGACAAGATCTAGGACCCCCTGTCTCCGTTTCTCAAACCAAATCATCTCCTCTCTGCAGTAAACTCAATACAAGTTCTGAAACAAAAAACATTAATGTGGGAATACTTTTAAACCACAAAAAGGCACACTTATCAGGCTTGTCCTAGATTGCTTTGACATTTCAACATTTCCTAGCGCAGTACACAGTTGCCTTTACTATAACATTGTTTTAATATTGTAAAGCTGTATTATTTTTTAATGAACAAATATAACTTATCTTAAATTAGATACTTAAAGCCCTGTACATAAAATATCATAAATGATTCAAGCCATAGTCTGGAGAACATACTAAATTAACGTTAAACACTTTGCAGCTTGTTACAATAACAGTAGATGGCTATTGCTCTAGGCTTTTCCTGTATTATTTATAGAACACATTTGCTCCTATTTTCTTCCATTTAAAATGATACTCTAAACCATGGTTTCTATGATCCCAGATTAGCCCTCCTGTCCTTTATTCATTTAGCTCATCATCAGTAACAGAATCAATGATAAAATATTATCTACGATTAATGTACTTATGATTTCTCAGTTGTTTGCCATGGGCAACAGCAACATCTCAGGAAAGATTTGGGAAAAATGGATTAAAAATGATTGAGGAAATCTCTTCTCAGGTAATGAATAGTACTGTTACTGTACCATTCTCCCTATAAATAGCTATGACTGATATTGGTTAAAAGTTCCTGTACATTCTGCCTCATATTCTGTATGTTTCTGCAACAGCTAGAAACTTGCACTTAGGCTAGGAATCCAATAACATGATTATGTAAGGTAGTAATGCAAATATGTATGGGATTTCATAGCTAGAATTTTGATAAAACCTGGCCAACTGAACTAAATGACATCTTTGGTTGCAGAATACAGACTACTTCCAATACTAAGAAATTATATAACTTTGTGTGTGTGTGTGTGTGTGTGTGTGTTTATGTTGTATTAGCTCAGCCATTCTGGTTTGTC